AGTTAACAATAAGCTACCTACTGCCAATGAAACTAGACTTAGTTAACAATAAGCTACTACTGCCAATGAAACTAGACTTAGTTAACAATAAACTACTATTGCCAATAAACTAGACTTAGTTAACAATAAGCGATGTAAGTGAAGAAAGGAAAACAAGATACATTTTAACACAATACGTTACTCAAGTGGACCACAGTTATCATCCTGACGTAATGTGTTAAGATTTAGAGTACTAATCTCTGACTTTCGGTACTGGACTGGTACTGCCCTGAGGTACAGTAGGTATTTGGACCCACCCTCTAATTTCCCCCCTCCGAAACAAAGTCAACATAAGCTGACATCAATCAATTAGGAGACAGCATTAAGACATAAAGAAACGATATCTTCACTGATAAGGACATCAGATAGACATACAATTAAAGCACGATTTAATATTGGACAGGTATTGCAACAGTAGACACTGGTTTTATTTGCCACGACTTTAGCCGTACCTACAGGTGTACATAGTTTACTGTAAAATCTAAGTCTTGCTATGACTGCTAGTGAACCTAGGATGGTTCTAGTTAAAAACAAAACTACAGCGTAAACACAATGTAATAAAAGCAGCAGTGAGTAATATACGTAAAACACAAGTTCTGTATTCATGATATACGAACTTTGTTTTAAACGTTATGTTTTGTCAGTTCTGTTGCCAATAAACGAATACATTGAATTAAATCGTGTGAATTAAAAGTAGATTTTTCTGGCTTTATATCCAGACAAGGTCAATAACTATAGTGTCAAAGTTCAGAGTGCGAGTTGAGCGACTTTCAACTGCCAGTGGTCTCAGATCTGGCAGCGTTTCACCTAAAAGGTCGCTCTCCTTTCGCGACGGAGACTGAGATTAGATAATACAGAAGTTAGGAAGAGTACTCGAATGAGAATGTTAATACTTTTTTTAATGATTTCGCAGACATTTTTTTACGACACCCACCTGGTGACAGCCTCCTTCCGAAAGAAACTCTTGCGTGTAAAATCTGTTCGTCTTGCTGGAAAGGGATGTCTCCACAGACCATGTCATACAGTAAGATCCCCAACGACCACACCGTTGCACTGGACCCATAGTAGCGGCTGGTGCGGATCCACTCAGGTGGACTATAAACACGTGTACCTAAGAATACCACACAAAATCAGACACTTACCAATATATTAGAACCATGCAGCTTTGAAAAATATCAACTACCATCAACTACTACAGCTCCTCAACTTATTTTCATCTCTTTTAAAAGCGCAGCTCATCTGACCCACTTTAGAACAATAATTAACAATTCAGGAACAAAGGAATGCTAGCCCCTAGACTATCGTACGGTCAAACACCAGCCCCTAGAGGTGCTTCTCGCCAGATCATACAAAAATTAACCTGTTTAGTAAAAATTTAGAAACAATCTCCGCCTACATAGTGTGGGAGCGTATGGATACTCGTATTAGCCTCTCTATGTACAGACACCAAGAATACAAGCAAATTTTCACAGATGTAAATCGTCCACAGGCTCTGCTTGGCACAGTGCCAGGAACTTGGAGGTCGTCAAAGTTCGTTGTTCCCCGAAAACGGATTTCAATTTTTTCATAATCCCGACAGTTTATCAACCTGATATTCACCATGTTCACTAAACAGACTTCTCTCTTTTGTTCTTTCCCAGTTATAAAATCAAAGAAAACATATTAAAATGGCTTTACTTACTGTGTGTTACTAGCAGGAATGATCATCATATAACTTTACTATGAAAACCGTTACAAATTGCAAGCTACCCCCACCCAAATCAGGCAAAATGATATTATCCAAAAAGATATGGGACCAAATTAAGTTTTTTTTATTCATAAAAATATATTTTTGTGTATTATTTCTTTCTTAATTAAAACATATTACCAGCTATACATATACATAGTTATGTATTTGGTTAATTTATTTGTAAATGTAGACTAGACAATAAGCAAAATTAATTGTACCATCAAAGTCTGTGTAAACCGATTCTTTCAGGTGTGCCCCGGATCCAAAGTCAATCAACTTTAAAGAAAAAGTCTTGAGGTCCACTAAAATATTTTCATCCTTGATATCACGATGAATAACTTTCAGCTTATGGCACGCTATGACAGTTTCCACGATCTGTCGAAAGAAGAATTGAGAGATATTTTCGTCGAGAACCCCCCGTTCAGTAATGAAATCGAACAAGTCTTGCACGGAGTCGGGTCTCTCCATGACAATGATGAACGAATCGGAACGCTCGAACCAATCCAGCAGACGAATCACTCCCTGCAGGCTGCTCACTTTTTGTAGCAAGGATATTTCAATAGGCACACGGTGGTCATTTACCTAGGTTCAAACATAGAATATGAACTCTACTAACTGTCTTTTTACTTCACATAATTTAAAGCAAGTTTCAAAAAATAATGAGAAAAAAAATAATTTTTTTTTGAAATATCTTTAAATTCCTTATCAAATATTGCGAACTTATGGGACACGCCAATGTCTTTTGGCAATTTGCCAGTTCGGTTGCCGATGTATGAAGTTTCTCCCAGGAAGTCTCGAATAGGCATAAGCATACTATAATCTTTCTTCAATTCAAAATACAATATGGAGTAAATAAACACAAGTATCGACAAAACTAAATACATTCTGAGGGAACGTAAACCCTGTAACATAGCAATGGCTAGTATTACAGTACTTGTATAAATTCAAATTAAAATGTACACTGTTTATGGCAAAGCTATTAAGGCTACCTGCCGCAAATGTATACGCAAACAGGTACTCACCTGTCCCCAGTCTGTAACTTTTTCTTTAAGTACATGTTTGATGGCAACCTGAAATGATTATAGTTTATTTAATTGAAATGTTGTAATACAAGCAACTGTTGATTTCATCCTAAGTGTCTGGGAAGGCTTCCTACAAATTTGATTAAAAAAATAAATATATTTTTTGTAAGTATTTCTTATAATATTAAAACAAATCGACAAATAAATAAATAGCTATATCAAACGTAAATGTCGTCACAACAGCAAACAATCAATTTTTCTAACAAATTAAACTCGTCTAAAATATAATTAGAACCTATTAAACTCAAGCCTATGGATACATTAAGTTCATGTAAAGTAACGAAAAAGGAGGCTTCGTGGAACTGAAGTTTGTTTTCTATACCAAAATACTAGCTTTATTTAAAATAAACCTGTAAAATAATGAGTTTATAGCTTCGCAACCTTATAATTAAAATAATCATAAAATCAACATGGTATAAAATATTAGCCCTAGTTTCAATTATTACATAGCAGTAAAAAAGTTAGCTTCACAAAAGTATAGCCTGTTATTTTTTATAAGGTTAAGATTTATTAAACTTTACAAAAATTACAGCCATGTAAGTATCTCTTCAGAATTTCAATCAGTTATCTTTCACCGCATGCTACCACTACTACTAGTCACTGCATAAAATAATAGTACCTTCAATTTGGTGCGAATAAATTATGTAAATATAGATTTAAGATAAAGATACTGTTTAGATTAAATCATATAACTTACTTCTTTTGTAATTTGCAGTGAATATAATGAAAATGTTTTATTTTCAATAACTTACCGACACGTTATCTCGCAGTCGAGTTCCACAATAAACTGTTCCAAATCCACCTTTCCCCAGTAATTCTCCAATTTTATATGCTTTTGCAAACGGTTCTTGTCGACCTGTAAAAATAAATTATTAATGCATTAATTATCAGCATAATTATGGAATTATTGTATTTATTACTAAAATGTGTGTCAAAAATAGTATTTATTTCTCAATCAACAAAAATTAGTTTACATTTACAAATGTGTGGTTAGGTTCTTAATTTTTACATCAACATTATCACCGAGTCAAGTAGTCCCAACTTCTGCAGGATATGCACAGCTAAATATACATAATCCAACCATGAGGACTTACAACCCCATAGATAATGTCTACCTCTTTTCTTATTCTGCTACACAGTGTGAATGAGGACCAGAAGTAAAATCACCTGAGATTGTAGAAATCTTTCGGGCCAACATGATTGTAGCATCCAATATACTAAATTTTAAACTATTCAAAACTGAGCCAACCTGCAATCACACACAAATTATTTACCCCACCCAAACAACAACACCACGTTCCACATTTACTACGAGATGAGACCGGTGTGTAGTAGAAGTATATCGTAATATGACAATCGTTGTATTAATGTGTTCATCCGCTGTCTGGCGAGTTTTTGTAAATTAGATTTGTCTATCTTAGATATTAAATTAAGAAAAACAATTAAAGTAACGTTTTATGTTCTTATAATTTATGAATTTGAACATAAAATTGGCAAATTTCACATGATACACGGAGAACTATTATCTATACTATGCGGAAGATCACATTATCTGGGTACGTCTTTCAATGCGGGTTCGTCAGGAGTTGCGTGAGGAGAAGAAGCTCAGTCAATGGTTTGTGCGCGCCAAAACAATCCAATAAGTGTAGAGATTATAGTAGTCTTCACTGCTGTCTCCCGTATAATATTATAAATGGAGTTTTATATTTAGGCAAACGTTTTTCACACAAATTTTAGATAGTCTGACGGAATTAATTTTAAGCTTCGTTTCATTTCCTTTAAGTTATTTCTCTTGCTTATTGTTTACTAGATTTAGTATATATATTTTGGAATTTCAAAATAACCATTTTTTAACACAAAACTTTGTAAAATGTAGTATGCAGAAAATTTACAAAATTCACTTAACATGTAAATTAAAAAAACGCCAATAAAAATCATAATGGAAGAAATAAGATCAATCAATTTCAAAAACATATATTAAAATGTTCCACTTTAACTATGAAGAGGATGTTTATTGTTCTTGTTAGGCTAATAGCTACACATTGAAATATACGTGAAACCCGATTTATAAGATGTCAATTGAGAGAACTTTAAGTGAGGCAGTAGTAGTTTATTGTTAACTAAGTCTAGTTTATTGGCAGTAGTACTAGCTTATTGTTAACTAAGTCAAATTTCACTGGCAGTGGTAGCTTATTGTTAACTAAGTCTAGTTTCACTGGCGTGTTAGGATGATAACTGTGGTCCACTACAGTAACGTATTGTGTTAAAATGTATCTTGTTTTCCTTTCTACACTTACATCGTGTTAGGATGATAACTGTGGTCCACTACAGTAACGTATTGTGTTAAAATGTATCTTGTTTTCCTTTCTACACTTACATCGTGTTAGGATGATAACTGTGGTCCACTACAGTAACGTATTGTGTTAAAATGTATCTTGTTTTCCTTTCTACACTTACATCGTATTAGGATTATACCTTGTTTTCCTTTCTACACTTACATCGTGTTAGGATGATAACTGTGGTCCACTACAGTAACGTATTGTGTTAAAATGTATCTTGTTTTCCTTTCTACACTTACATCGTGTTAGGATGATAACTGTGGTCCACTACAGTAACGTATTGTGTTAAAACGTATCATGTTTTCCTTTCTACAGTTACATA